AAAAGAACACTTGAGGCCCTTTCGTCAGCCTCCCAGAGTCGCCAGATAGATTAGTAGAACTGGGACCCCCACCTGGGCCTGAAAACACTCGACCCGAGGAGGGGGGTCAACCCTAAACCCTAAACTCCGGTTTAGGGTTTAGGGTTTAGGGTTTAGGGTTACCCAACATTAAGCCCTGAACCCCAAACCCAAATCCCCCTAAACTAAAGCTCCAAGGGATGTCAAGGCCCACGACCCGCGCAGTGTGCGAGCGTCCTCTGGCACCTGCGAACAATCCGAGATGCGGCATGTAAAGCTTTTCCACGGCCTAAGTAAATAGTAGACAGGCTCATGGAGGCCGAGCTTTCGTAGGTGGCTTTCCGTCTTCAAAACCCGAACAGCCCTGACTTGATAGTCCCTTCAAGTTGAAAGCCCTGAAGTGCTATAAGGTACAGGGTTGTTTTCGGACTTTAGGGCCCAGATGATCAATGTCGCCTAGGTAATGTCGTACTGCAGCTTGATGTAGTAAATGCTCTTTGATAGACGGATGTTTGAGCCTCAGTGCTACAAAGCTCGGGGGTATGAGGCTTCAGGTGTTTGTAAGATAGTTCCGGCTTGTGATGCCCAAGTTGTCAGGTCTTTCAAGATTTGGACATCCTCTTCTAAAGGCTCACGGGGATCTGTGCTGATGCATGCAAAACACCCTTATGATTCAAAAAACAGCAACAAACGTTGCAAACCCTAAATAAAGCTCCAAAAACCCTCCCGGAAGCCTCTGCTGCCTTTATCCTTGCCTCGGGGTCGGAATAGTTGGTAGGATTCGTCCCTTACAATCCCTAATCCCTAAACACTTGGACACTTCTTTTGTATACCCCAACACTCTTCCGCTTATTACGGCCACCGGGCCCCCGACTCGTCACGGGCTCCACCCGACCCGTCAACGGCTCGGTGTCGTCGAAAAGCATGTCGCGAAACCTCTCGATGTCATGTTGAAAGGGTTCTGTTTCTGTTATGGACTTGTTTTCTTTTACTGTATTGTACCGGGGCTCATTATCACATTTTCAAGGTTTTGGACAAGTATGGTCTGATAGTGACTACAAGTGAACATTGTCCCTGGACCCATGGATTTAGGACGATTCAGGGCTTGGGGGGTAGTGTTGTGGATGAGGCATTGGGGTGATAAGAAGATTCCGGAAACCATACCAATCTTGCAGGCATTGCAGAAGATGCCAAGCCACCGCCGTCGGTGTCGTTAAAGAAGTAGCAGTAGGAATGATGCTCTACAATCACTTGCTTTATTCATAAGTACACTGGAAAACAACAGTAAAAGCACACACCGAACACCCGAAACCCAAACCGAAGCGGTAAACTCTAAACACATTTGAGCCCTTAGGCACATAAATGCCGAACCCTTATACCGCTGCTAACGGATCCGGGGACTTAGCATGTAGAGTTTCAAGAGAGTTCGCTATCTATTTCTCCCCAGTCAACCAAGGTACTTGAAGCCCATCTTCTAGGTCCTCAATCTCTAAGTATGCTGCTAACAAAACGCAGAACACCAGACCCTAGGCTCCGTAAATGAAGTAGGCTATACCGGAAGGCCCAACAAAAACATACACTCTAAACTTGAAACCCTAACATCCCCAAACCTGACAACAGGCCACCCCCGCCCCCTCCAAAAAAAAAGTTTTCCCTCAGCCGGGCAACAGAAAAGCAGCCTCCCTAAACACTAAACCCTACACCCTAAACCCTTACCCTTAAGACCCCCTGTGCCCTAGAAAACAGCCGCAGGCCTGTCTGTGGAGAAGAGAGTGCCCTGCGGGTTTAGCCCAAGCTTCACGTTCGCGCCATGAAGCCACTGCCTTCTAGGGTTTAGGGTTTAGGGTTTAGGGTTTGGGGTTTGGGGTTTAGGGTTTAGGGTTTAGGGTTGAGGGGTTTAGGGTTTAGGGATTAGGGTTTAGGGTTGAAGGGTTTAGGGATTAGGGATTAGGGTCTAGGGTTGAAGGGTTTAGGGTTTAGGGTTTAGGGTTTAGGGTTTAGGGAATAGGGTTTAGGGTTGAGGGGTTTAGGGTTTAGGGTTTAGGGATTAGGGTTTAGGGTTGAGGGGTTTAGGGTTTAGGGATTAGGGTTTAGGGTCTAGGGATCATGGATTTACTGCCTTCTGGAGGGATCAACGGTTCTAGTGGGTTTTGGGCTTTTGGGGAGATCATGGGTTCGAGTGTCTAGCTCCAAAAGACTAAGGCGGTAAGAGTTGAGGGTTTGGGGGGTCCAACTCGAGGGTTTTGGGTTTAGGGATTAGGGTTGAGGCATCATGGGTTTTGGGGTCTAGATCTCCAGCTCAGTGGATAGGAATGTCCTTTCGGGGATTACGGGTAAGCCTGCGAGCGCTGATGTAGAGATACAACTCGTATGAAAAGCCAATAAACACCCTAAACCCTAAACCCCATTCCAATGTTAAAACCCTCCGACCGAGGCTATGACACACATCTCTCCAGCTTCCACTCGAGGCCATCAATGGCCTGGCCGTGATTTTTTGAAAGCTCGAGGGTTTAGGGTGTCTGTATAAGGGCTCCGTAGGGCCGGGGGCTCTATATTGGTGCTATAGGGTTCCAGGAGTCCTTTTGGTCGCTCCGCACAAAAAGCAGGATTGCCACCTACAGGACAATCAAGCTTAAAACAGAAACTGCGTACTCAGACGACTTCTGCGAATTTCCTGTGAGCCCTGAATTGGTGACGAAAAGCTGTCTGAGTGTAAACACTCCAGTTATGGTTTACATTTCACAAACTGTACTGCTAGGAGACCAAACAAATCCCTGTAACCACGTGTTTTTGACACTGCAGTCTCGGAGATGGTCGAAGTCAGGTACACCCAACAAGGCCCGGAACACAGGGAGCCCTAATCCCTACCAAGAAAAATACCATAATATACCACAATATACCACGATAGACCGTAATTCCCATAGTTTAGGCGATCATGTCCGGCACTCAACTCAGGTGCTTGTGCAGCCATTGGCTTGCAAGGGCTCGTGGTGGAGGGACTGGAGTTTGAGGTTTTAGGATGCTTCGGGTCGGCTGTAGTGTAGGAGCTGCAGCAACACCCGAACCCAGTTGACTCCAAGCCACGTCGCAATCTCCTTACTCTCTCTGTCTCTCTGAACATCTACATGGAGACACACCCATGTTGAGCTGTGTATCTATGAGTCTAGTTGATTCGACTGTAGGAGCGTTGAACTACTGTACCAAATATGCCACTACCAAACTAGGCAAAGGGCTCGCGATTGAGCTGCCCTCAGTTGGCAACCTAATGTAGCGCCGTTCATTTAATGCCTAAGCGGGTTTCGGGCTATGTTGCATTCTACTTACTTGCTGTTAAAGGCATTCTGCACCCTATGGTATAATGGGATCCGTACTTTTTATGTGCCTCTGGAGCTGGTCTGCTGAACTTCCGTGGGTGAGCGAAGTATAAAGCAAACTGCTAAGCCTTAATCCATAAACGACAAGCCTGAAGCGCTTCACCAAAAACTTTTAAACCGAAACCCTAAACCCTAAACTGCCCTGCCCGGGTTCACATGCCTCGCGCTGGAACGTCTCCAGCTCTCTTTTCGTCACACCCTGGGCACCAACAGCCATGGCGTCAGGTTTACAGTAGGATTCAAGGCTGCATAAGGGCATTAGGATTTGCGATTTCAGCTTGAAGGTGTTAGAAATCTCTATGCCCCGAGACCCGAACCTGCCGAAACCCGGAAAATCCAAAACTCCAAAACCCTAAATAACATAACTGTACCCTAGGCCCTAATCCACACTTCAAAGAACCCCCCAGGCTCCACCTCACAGTGCAAAACCCATCACAACCCTGCTAAGAAACCCCAACCTCTAAGAACCAATTGAGGTTCCAGCTCTCTCATAGAAGGTCCTCCCCAGAACCGGCTATGGTGCCCTTCTGGACACCTTTTCAAACCCCTAATTCCCTTACTCAGACCTAAGCCCCGAAAGCCTAAACCCTAAAGCTTCACACCCCAGTCCCCAAAATACCCTACAAGCCCTGAATCCGAAACCCATAAAGCCCTGGACCCTAAACCCCTGATAGAGGCCCTAAAAAATCCCTAAAGCCCTACAGTACCCGAAGCCACTGATCCCTAAACCCTCTGAGCCTCGCACTCTGACCAAGCCTTCCATCTGGTCCATGACGAGGCCAAGGACTCTCGGCTGTGCCGTCAGAGCCTCCATCGGGCTCTGAGGGCTCGGAGGGTGTCCCAAAGCGCTTGCCGTCATTTGAGTTTTTTTGGGTTTCGGGTTTAGGGTTTAGGGTTTCTGGACGTCCTTTTAGGTTTTTTGTTGGGGTTCTACAAGGGCTTAGGGCTTTCGGGTTTTAGGGTCCGGGGCTCTGGGTGTCGGCTCCGAAAACCCCCCCGGCAATGTAGGACTCAGGGCTGGAAGGTCTGTGAGGCTTTGCGGGTTAGCGAGTCGCGGCTTCTGATTCGGATTTTGAGATGGCGTGCTCCCGATAAGAAGCTTCATAAATTGTGAGGAATTTAAAGACATGAATTTAGGAAGGTTGGCTTTAGGAATACTCGCTGAACTATAGTATGACTGCTTCATCTGTAAGCCGCCTCGACCCCAACTGTAGACATGTTCCAGACCGTGGGCTTAACAGTTGATATCGCAGGAGCTAGACTATACTCTATCTATCATGAGGAGCCCCAGAAGGAATAATCTTACTGAACACTCAGACCCTCTATGCTATCTTAAGTTGAACACAATAATAAGTCTCGGTCTTCAGTTAAAGCCATGTCGGGAGTTGCCCCGCGTTGGGACTTCAAGCGATTTGGAATTCAGGAGCTGCTTCGAATTGCAGGTGGTTTTGGGGAGTTTCGGGGGGTTGTAGGATGTGTTCGATTCAGTAAGGAGCTGCAGATGGGTCTGAAGCCTTGCGTTCAAGGCACAGCGAGGAGGCAATTCAAGGAGTTGCTGAAGCCTCCGTGCGAATTCGGAATTCGGCTCAAACCTCCGTAGTCCACGCCGACCCCTCCGCTCGAAATAGCCCAAAGCAAAAACTAAACCCAACATGTTCTATTTGTATTCTTGGATCCTTACAGCGCCAAGAGCCTAAACCTTAAACCCGAAACCCGAAGCTCTAAACCCTAAACCTTAACCCCGAAACCCTAAACTCTAAACCCTGAACCCCAAACCTTAAACCCGAAACCCTAAAAAGTCTACACCCTACAACCTAAACCCTAAACCCGAAACCCTAAAAAGTCTACACCCGAAGCCCTAAACCTTAAACCCGAAACCCTAAGCTCTAAACCCGAAGCCCTAAACTCTAAACCCACAACCCTAAACTCTAAACCCGAAACCCTGAGCCTTAAACCCGAAACCCTAAAACGTCTACACCCGAAGCGCTAAACCTTAAACCCGAAACCCTAAGTAGTCTACACCCCAAACCCTAAACCTTAAACCCGAAACCCCAAAAAAGCTACACCCTTCTACCTAAAACCTTGAACCCGACACCCTAAACCCTAAACCCCAAACTACAAAGTCTACGCCCTAAAGCCTAAACCTTAAACTCGACACCCTAAACCCTAAACCCCTAAACCCCAAACCCTACAAAGGCTACACCCTAAAACCTAAAACCTTAAACCCGACCCCCTAAACCCTAAACCCTAAACCCCAAACCCTACAAAGTCTACACCCTAAACCCTAAACCTCAAACCCGAAACCCCGGACCCCAAGCTGCCTGGAGCTTCTGCTCAGACTTGCGGAGGGCATCGCCGATGTACTTGCGCAAACCGTCCTACGAGGTATGCTCAGCTTAGGGTTTAGGGTTTAGGGTTTAGGGTTTAGGGTTTAGGGAAATTGCGAAGATGCCAGAGACTCGGAACCTTGGGCAGTAGGGTTTTGGGCAGAAGGGCCTATAGAGGCTTGGAAAGTGGGGATGTAAGGTTTCAGGCTGTGTGGTTTCTGCTTTAGGGGGGCGGGGTGAGTTTGGGAGGAGCCCGGTGCCTGGCTAGGATTCTTTTCGGGTTGTGGATGCCAAGGCAATGTAGTTCACGGGATTTTGTGGTTATATAGAGAGCTTATAGGGCAAAGCCGAAACTCGAAGCCCAAACTCGAAAAACCGCAAACCCCAAACTAGTGGCTGAATTCACTCTTGCTTGAGTCACGGTGGCCTGCAAGCAGATTCCTTCGCCCGTTTTTCCCCGAACCGGTGGCCTCGTTTGCTCGCTTGTGGCTCGGAAATGATATGATTTAGGGTTTTGGGGTTTAACGGTTTAGGGGTTTAAGGGTTTCGGGTTCAGGGGTTTATAGGGTTTAGGGGAACCCTGAAGTATCAAAGCAGAGAAAAAGCACAAAGCGGCGAACAACGCATCCCTCGATCGTGCAAGGCAGAGAGGTTTCAAGATATGTCGATCAAGGGCTTCTTCACTGATCGGCCCTACCATGTACAGCTCGTTTAAGGATTGCATCCCAACACCCCTGAACCTCCAAAACACAAAACACCAAAACAGCCCAATATTCCCCGACTGCTAAAGAATTCTGAAGTCGACCCTAAACCCTAAGCCCCGGTCCTTCTAAGCCCTAAGCCCCGGACCTTCTAAGCCCTAAACCCTGGACCTTCTAAACCCTAAACCCAGGGTTTAGGGTTTAGGGTTTAGGGTTGGGTTTAGGAGAAAAGGCCCTGCGCTCCAAAGGATAGACATTCTACAGGAGACGGCCTTGGCCGACTGGAGCATGTCCTTCTGCTCCTGATGCTCGCGCACATCCTAAATTTCACCCTACCTTAAGAACCCAAAACCTACTTTTTTGTAGGGTCCCTATAAATCCCATATTAGGGATTATAGTTCTTAAGGTACAGCCCGAACCACAACCACAAAATCCAAAACCCTCATAACACAATCCACAACATCTAAGACCCCAAGCCCGAAGCCCTAAACCCAACATCATGAACATCCAAGACCCAGCTTGTATTTACGGTTTAGGGTTTAGGGTTTAGGGTTTAGGGTTTAGGGTTTAGGGTTCAGCTTGTATTTCACGAGAACCGACTGGTAACATGTAAGGCTCTTTTTCAAGCCGACAGCTTCGAGCAACTCCGGGGACTTCTTAGGCCCTTGGCTTTTGCGGTAAAGGGCTTGGGCTCTGAGGGTGTTTGCAGGCCTAAGGGCTTAGCAGAGACTAGCCCTAAACCCCAAACCCTAAACCCTAAACCCAAGCCCCACCCAAAACCCCGCCTGTAACCCCAGAATCATGGCAGGATCCCGAAAGTTGAACCCCAGCCTGCGAACCTAATGTAGAAGCCTAAAGCCTAAATAGTTACCTATAATTTTTTGGCTCCATAGTATAATTAGAGTATAATAACCCTAAACCCTAAACCCTAAACCCTAAACCCTAAACCCTACCCCAAAATCCTGTTCTGGGTCCCCTGCCTCTTTTGAGCCTAGAGTTTCGGAAAACATTGTGCTTGGAGTTAGCCCGACACCTTGAAACCTTGGAAGTGTAACCTGGTAACCCTAATACCCGAAACCCTAAAACCCTCTCTCTCTCTCTCTCTATATATATATATATAGAAGTCCTGGATGTCACAGTTCACCTTCGCGACGCGATCTTCCAAGATCTGGGTCGAGGCAGCAACGCCGACGGGTCTAGGGGTTCCTGAATATGACTAATACAGGGGCCTTAACGATTAGAATAGGGTTTCGGGGTAAGTTATACATTTATTATAGTAAGAAACCCCCAAAATACTATTGGTAACTATCTAGGCTTCTATATTATGCTGCGGCTTGGGGCCTATAGCCCCTCGACTTTCCCCAAACCCAAAACCCCCAGTGTCAATGGAGGCGTTCTTCCGTGGACGTGGGAGTTGGGAAACGAAGCTGGGGAGTTGGTCCTAAACCCTAAACCCTAAACCCTGAACCCTAAACGCTGAACCCTATACCCTAAACCCTGAACCCTAAACCCTAAACCCTTACTATTATCGGCTGCGGGTTCTCGGGTTCGGAGGTTTGGGCTTCGGGTTTCGAGCGTCATTGGGGTTTAGGGTTTGTAGGGTTCAGGGTCTATAGGGTTTATAAGGTTTAGGGTTCAGGGTTTAGGGTTTATAGGGTTTAGGGTTTATAGGGTTTAGGGTTTATAGGGTTTAGGGCTTACAGGGTTTATAAGGTTTAGGGTTTATAGGATGGTTTGGGGTTTAGGGTTTGGGGTTCAGGGTTGCCTACAGCTAAAGACCGGTCGACTTCAGCCAATATGCGAACTGAGCATGTGGCTTTGGAGCTTCCCAACATCCAATGCCGCGTTTTCTTAAGCGCCCTCAGAGCCATAACCAGGGATACTTATACTAAATAAAAACGAAAATTCCTAAGAGCACTGAATTCTGAAATTTTTGCCCCTCCAGCACCTTGGCCCTAAAAACTCTAGCGGGTCCCTGGCAAGGACCTGCATCATGCGCATCAGTTGGGACCTCGGGCCGCGAAACGCTGTGGTGATGCATCGGTGGCGGCGAAGATAGCACAAGGTGCCGGCGCACCGGGCTAGAGAGTCTTCGCCGGAAAGAAGTGAGCATCAGCTGGGCCGTTGGTCCGGGGAAGGCCGCAGGGTAGTGCGACATCGGCGGCGGCCAAGATTCCTCAAGGTGCCCGAGCTGGCAAAACAACTAGGAGCGAGCATCATCAGCATCAGCTGGGCCGTAAGTTCGGGGAACGCAGGCGACATTGGTGTCGAGCTGGACGGGAAGTTTGAGCCACCACGGCTCCCCGAACGCCGCCGCATGGTGCGACATCGACTACGCAAGGCGCCGATCTGGACGGCTTTTGGCAAGGAAATCTGAGCCAGCATCACGAGCATCAGCTGCACCGCTGGTTTCGCAAAAACGCCGCAGTGCGGCTCAAGATATCTCAAGGTGGGAAACTGAGCCAGCATCATGAGCATCAGCTGGGCCGTTGGTTCGGGGAACGTCGCAGTGTAGCGCAACATTGACAGAGCTGATTGACCATGCTACAGCAAAACAACTCCAGGTGCTGAGCGCCATCTCAGCCGGCATCATGAGCATCAGCTAGGCCAAGGGCCCTGTGGAATCCTCGAACCGAGACGAGGTGAAGATCCAAGAGACCCCCCTCCCCCCCCTCATGATGCATGGTTCGGCCCGTTGAATCAGCATCGTCGTGAGTTCACTTTTGTACAGCACAAGTTTCTCTAGAACCTTCTGTATACCACCAGACTTTACTTTAGAGCCTTTAGCAGCGGCTCTTGCGGTGGTGCATGGGCGGCATTATGATGATACCTGTAAAAATAGAGATACATATAATTAAAAATCAGTTCATGTATCATATGACGGGTATAAACACATAAATAAGTATATATGTGGTTTTAGTTTTGAAGACTCCCGTTCCCTAGACCTCCAAACCCCACATGCTAACCCCCTAAGCCCTAAACCCCCAAACCCTAAAACCTAAGCCCTAAACCCCTAAACCCTAAAATCCTAAACCCGAAAACCCTAAACCCTAAACCCGAGAAGCTTCATTGCCAACCTCGTCGTCTCGATTCTCTTCCGCTGCCGCGCTCTCTTCGT